AAAATAACTTGCGTGGGGCGTTGGAAAACGCGTATAGAGCCCGGATCTGAGGGAGAAAATGGTGTAGGAAGCAAGAGAAGAAGATTTCGTGGCTGCAAGTATAGGCTCTGGGCTGCGTGTTCAGAAAATTAAAGTTTGGGCTGCGTGTTCAACTCTCAATTAGTGTGGGCTGCGTGTTCACTATCAATCTGGGCTGCGTGTTCAGGAAATTAGTTTGGGCTGCGTGTTCAACTTTCAACTAGTGTGGGCTGCGTGTTCACTATCAATCTGGGCTGCGTGTTCAGGAAATTAGTTTGGGCTGCGTGTTCAACTTTCAACTAGTGTGGGCTGCGTGTTCACTATCAATCTGGGCTGCGTGTTCAGGAAATTAGTTTGGGCTGCGTGTTCAACTTTCAACTAGTGTGGGCTGCGTGTTCACTATCAATCTGGGCTGCGTGTTCAGGAAATTAGTTTGGGCTGCGTGTTCAACTTTCAACTAGTGTGGGCTGCGTGTTCACTATCAATCTGGGCTGCGTGTTCAGGAAATTAAAGTTTGGGCTGCGTGTTCAACTTTCAATCAGTGTAGGTTGCGTGTTCACTATCAATCTGGGCTGCGTGTTCAGGAAATTTAAGTTTGGGCTGCGTGTTCAACTTTCAATCAGTGTGGGCTGCGTGTTCAACTTTCAATCAGTGTGGGCTGCGTGTTCACTATCAATCTGGGCTGCGTGTTCAGGAAATTAAAGTTTGGGCTGCGTGTTCAACTTTTAACTAGTGTGGGCTGCGTGTACACTATCAATCTGGGCTGCGTGTTCAGGAAATTAAAGTTTGGGCTGCGTGTTCAACTCTCAATTAGTGTGGGCTGCGTGTTCACTATCAATCTGGGCTGCGTGTTCAGAAAATCAGAGTTTGGGCTGTGCGTTCTACTCTAAGTCAGTGAGTGCTATATGTTCACCATTTTAATTCGGGCTGTGTGTTCGACAAATCAGTGTTTAAGCCATGTGTTCACCTCTTAACTAATGTGTACTGTGCGTTCGCAATCAATTAATGAGCCGAGTGTTCAGAAATTCAAGTGTTCAAGCTACGTATTCAGGATGCAAATAAAGTACTATGTCATAAGCTAAACTGTGTGCTCAAGCATGGCAAAGGTGCGAAGAGTACGAAAAATGTAGAAAATAAAGTAAATACCTCTCGGGCCTCATGGGAGAGGTGATGCTCTGGCTCTCGGAGAAGCAGATCCCCAGGCGCTCGCTCATCAAAATCAGTGAAATGACGGAAAACGGCACGAGGAAGGACATGTGCTGGCGGAGCGTACCTCCCGGGAATAAAAGGTCGGACCCTCGGGGGCAAAGTCATAGGATCAAAATCGTCCCCGGCACCCGGAAAGCCTCCACCATGGGGAGAATTACCCGCCATTTTCAAAGAATCTGCAAAACGAGCAAAAATGAGCGAAAATGCGCCAAAATTGGAAAAAGTCAACAAAAGTCAACTCTCAGGAAATGAAAAAGTCAACAAAAGTCAACTCCCGAGAAAATCTTCCAAATATTAAGACAAACTCACCTCAAGTGGCGGAAATGAGAAAAGAAGCTCCGAAACCAAAATTTAATCAGTTCAAAGTGCTTGAAACTGAATATTTTTGCGGAAACAACTTGCGTGGGGCGTTGGAAAACGCGTATGGAACTCAGATCTGGAGAAGAAAGTGGTGTAGAAGGCAAGGGAAGAGAAGATCTCGGTTGCGTTTAGAGGCTCCAAGTCTTGGGATGAAGGAGCATGAAGAAAGGAGGTGAAAGGACCAAAATGCCCTCGGATTTGGTCATCTAGCCGGCCGGCCACCTTTTCCAGCCGGCCGGCCATTTCCTTTTTGGAAAACCGGCCGGCCAGCCATTCACTTTTTGTAAAACCAGCCGGCCACCTCCCATCCCTCATAAAACTGGCCGGCCATGTCCCTCACAGGCTCACCTAACTCCCTGCAAATTTTGAGGAAGATTGAAGTTCCCGGGACCTGAAAAAGTTCAAGAAAAGTACACTTCCGGTCGCGAAATTGCTCCGCCGGAACTTCAGCTTCAGGATCTGACATGTGTCTCATCATCATTCATCAAAATAAAAGTGTATCCTTTTTAAATGAGTTGTAGCCTTTCCAGGAAGTGGATCGGAGGCCGTGATCGAGTCGCCTTCGCCGAAACACGCATTTTCGTACTCGTTATTTCGTGACAAACGAGCACCCTGATTTATGCTCGTTTCGCACTATCATGCACATAACTTGCATTCTCATGAGCATACTTGCATTGTTATGCACATTTCTTAATATTGTCATACCTCTATGTTTGAGCATACGTTGTCACGCATGTTCCACTCCTGCATTGCGATGCATTCACTCACCGGCACTGCGTGTGTCGAACTTTCAGAATCACATTGAATATATGTTGGTAGCATATTGTGCTTGTTGAATTTCTCTCTTTTGCAGGCACGATATTGTATGTACGGTTCATTCGAGACTGGTGCGACCAGACGAACCGCGCAGGTATCGTATCTTCTCCGTGTGAGACGTGGCGAGAATTGAATAATTCTCTGCATTCTTAACTGCATGAAATGTAGTTGTTGCTTTGCATTCTTGCTTAAAACTGTTGCATCTATTTGCGAATACTTGCTTCATTACAGCTTGCTGCATTTGCATGATCATTGAGTTACTTTCGGCTCTGTGCATATCGCTTTGCATTTTGCCCCCTCCTGCCTGCGGGCATGCCTGCGGGCACCCCTCTGTTTATCTTGTATGTTTGTCT